TCCTAACTCTAACCCTAACCCGAACCCTAATCCTAACTCTAACCCTAACCCTTGTTTACTTGAGATAACACTAAAAATTAAAAACTGCCGGGCATTTAGGAAATCGAAGACCGTGCCCGGCAGCCGTCAGATATATGCCGGCTGCCGGGCATATAGCCACTCTGTAAATATATAGATATAAAACATGTAAATATAACTATATATTTATGTGTCAGTGTGCGCACAATGGCGGCGTCGTGTGTTTACAGTTGAAACGCTTCAAGTGCCTGTGCCCGGGATCAGATATCTATTCGCCGGTATTGCTATACATGAGGAGTAATTTACAGCCTTATACTTATAGTTATAGTACATCACTACACTCGAGTTAAAGCGTCTACGATACATAAGTTGTTGCCACCCGAGTTGGTCCTTAATTTAAGAGCTGACGTACTGCTATATCGCCCATAGGTGTTTGTAACAAATCTTGCAGATCTGTTTTGTATCATTTCTAGCTTATATTTATATTTCTCTTGGTGTGGGTCCCACACTGATGAGCAGTGATCCAGGCTTGGTAGTACAAGAGGGCGCAAATCCACTTTAGGCACCTTAGGCAGGGGCGGATGCAGGATTTTGTCTAGGGGGGGGTGCAGGTGGGAAAGGGCACTTTGAGATTTTGTTAGGGGCAACTGAAGCGGCGGCTTCGTACGCGAGGACCGCAGGTGCGAAGGAACCGGTGGGGGGTCGGGGGGGCCTCCCCCAGAAATTTTTTAAAAATCAGACTCCTTTTTCATTTTCAGAGCATATGAGGCCAAATTTTTGTACTTCAAGTCTTGTCATAGCAATGAAACAGACAATTCCAGTACAAGGCAAAATCCACAAAGCCACAAAAACCATCAACTTGCTTGAAATTAACTGCCATCAGAGCGACAAAATACTAGTACCCGGTGAAATCAAACTGCGATATGGATTGAACACACTTTTATTACAAAAGAAAATTAAAATCATTACATGTACTAATTTATACGCTTTCCGTTTCATACATTTACTATAAAACTTGAACTTCAACTTGAATTTCAATGACTGATATATTATGTTACTTAAAACATACTCAGTATTATATACTCTTGCAACAGGGGCGTGTACAGGATTTGTACCAGGGAGGGGTCCAGCCGTAACCCAAACTTGGGAGCACGCAAAGGGGGGGGAAATTTTTTGAAATTAGACCCCCTCAGATGCATTTTCTGCGCGAGCAGGTGGGGGGTCCGGACCCCCTGGACCCCCCACGGGGGTACACGCCCCTGTGCCAGTAGTACTTACTTTTACCAAATTTAGACCAAATGAGTGGGCTATTGCCAGAGAGAATATACTAAGTACGTTTTAAGTAAACAAGTGCCGCATAGCGACAGCGCTCATCTAACGTCTACTGCGGTGACTCTGTGGTGGAGTGGTGCATGCATGGGGGTGAACTGGCACTATTCTAATCATAATTATTGCCTGGCAACCTGCAATGCAGATGTGTTAACTCACAGCTGAGCGAAATTCTCGCCTGCCTGAATATACTTGGATTTCAGCAACTCAATGGAGTGAGGTTATCACTCACGAAGGGTGATGCCATCTTTGATTATTGATGACACTTCACGTGCCATCTTGCGGCAACTGCTTTTGCTATTAGAGCCCCCTCCACCCGCCCCCTCTCCCCACTCTCCCCTGACCACCACCACTACGCTCGCGCTCGACGCATATCCATGATAACATGTTAATATAGCGAAGTCATTAAAGTTACACAGCTGTATCTTTATTACTGTACTACCGGTATAGCAAAGCCTAGCTATCATAAATTTTAGATCGGTATTAGTAGTATCCTAGATATATATGCTCTGAGCGTGAACGCGGTGGCGGGAGGGCGCACTTGATTCGGTTGCCAGTGAGTTTACCAGAAGAATACCCGGCTACAGTACACGTCAGTTGAGCGCTGTCGCTCTGCGGCACTTGTTCTTTAATGTTCTGAATGAGTATGTGGTTCTCCATACAGCACTATCTGAATTATTTTGTTTGTCAAATAGGGGTGGAGATGTCACACTACATCAGTCTACACAATCAACAAAAAACCGGTTTCTGGAAGAGCTGGACAAGATTGATGTTAGTTTCATTAATTGAATGGCTAACTGTATAATATAATCTATGCTTATTTGGGAAATTCAATATAATAGGATTAGTAAGTTGCAAACTGTAGTTATATCAACCTATTGTGCCTGTAGATCTGTTATGATAAAGTTCTTTTTTCTTGTGCTATCTTTTGTGGTATAAATAGCTTATAAATAATTGATATTCCTTCAATTATATGATAATTTTTGTAGACTGACTATTTGGAACATACTGGTGTAAAAAAGTTTCGCATAGAAAAGCAAGATGAGAAAGAAGAAGATATGGGTAAGTGGTAATTGTCAAATAGAATTTTTAATTCCACTATTGCAGGATGCAAGCCATGCACATCAATTCTTAATTAGACCAGGGAAAATAAAGAATATGGAAGCTTGTAGCTTCCATACATAGCTATTATACATAGCTTCCAATGTATAATTATACACTGAATACAATGCTAACTTTAATATAAATTGTATAAAACTGCTATAAATACATATCTTTGACATGTATTTGCTGGTACACTAGTTCTGAAATTACATTCTAACAATTGCATTGTTTTGTTACGAATTGCTGGTATTGCAGATGTGGATAGCATCCATGAAGGAGAGGACAATGTTGATCGTGGACAGGTGCTAGGTCCTAGCCTGTACAATCTTGATAGCTGTGTCAAAGTATGGTCAGACTACATGCGAGTCCACTTGCACCCAAAATCAGTGTACACGTTACAGCAGTATGATTACAATAGGTAAGCCGTAGAATACACAAATTAAAGCATCTTCTTGTTCCATTGCATCCCACTCGCTTAATTGTGGTCACCGTGAAATTGACAGCGATTACGGCAAAAAATTTGTAAACCGTGGAGACATATTGATATTCATGTGGATCACAATATATTTTTCTATAACAAGCATAGGAACTTATATTTTGCACACCAGCTGTATGGTGAATTGAGAGGTTTATAGATAAGTGTTTTCGTAATTACTTTGTTTCAATTTTGATGCTATATCAGTAATGTTTTTCCAGTGACATGCAGCGATTCGACATTTTTGGCCTGGGTCAGCAGGTTTACCAAGAGAAAAAAACCCATGATGACATTGAGGACAGGCTGCATTTCTTTGCGGAGGAATGCGATAATCTACATGTATATATTTTTAAATGCTAATTAGTAATATGGTCATGTTCGGTTTGGCTCATTTCAATGAAAGTTTTAATGCTTCATCTTTTTATCGATTGGAGTGAATTTGACATTGTCAGTTGATAATACAATAATATATGTGTTATCCAATTCAATGCACTCAATAGTGTTGATGGCAGTATACATAGCAGTGTGGAGGCATATGTTTCATAGAAACCTTCTTTCTTAGGTTTATTTTTGTTGTGATATTATAGTAGGTTACATATTGTTATTTCTGATCAGGTGACAATTTCAGGGCTTTCAAATACTGGTTGATTACTACAATGGATTTGGAGGCCTGGGTTCAGAGATGACTGAGATGATACAAGATGAATACTCAAAGTGCGTGCTGAGCTTTCCAGTTAGTCCCACCACTTTTGACACACCTGTAAGTGTAATGGCAACATGTGAATTAACCAACATGTTTTCAAAAAATATAGAAAAATTACATTTTTCATTTAGATTTTCAATGTTTATAAGTTGGTAATAGTGTGTACTGTAATCTAAACTATGAAATTACCATCTGTAAGTGTATTTATGTTTAATTAAGTAGTGTGTTCACCATTGCTAAGTTTTGTCGAATTAGCTGGTAATGAAAATCTTTTTGAGAACTCTGAATTAAAAAATTCACAAGTCATCACAACAGCAGAATGTTCCACAACAACACACCTTTTTATTTGCGAGGTTGCATTCATATGCATTTTCTAGCGAACGATCTACTATGACACGTGTCGTACGGTCAACTCGATCCTGAGCTTGGTGAAGCTGGCCAGTCACAGTTCGCTCACAGTTCCGCTCTCTCTGATGTCCGACCTGGTAAAACCTACGGCAGCGCCTCTCTCATTGCCCCACATTAATTACAAGGTATTTACTATTTACTATCTAGAGTTTCACTTGCCTTCATGTTGTTCCGTTAATAAGTGAAGTCCGCATCGTCTATATTCGTTGTGTGCAGTGTAAATTTTGATATTTTGTATCTTTTACAGGCAGAACTGCCGTATCACAGTAGTGCTGTGCTAGCTGCTGCACTAGACACTGTGTCATTACTGTACAGAGTTGACAAAGACCCTGTTCCCATAGGTCAGATCTGTGACACACTTAATGCCCGTGGAAGAAAGGTACCCCATGGTGTAACTTGCAACGCCCAACACTAGGCTTCTTTGCACATTGACGATTAATATCTGGTGTGTTCTGGCACGATACTATTACTTACAGGCCAGGGCAATATATTATAGAAAAGGATTATGAAATCATCTCTTGCATGATATCTTAGTTTCTCTATTTTCTCTTACAGCTGGCAGCACTAGGTATAGCACTACCATTCCCCATGAGAGACAATGCAAGCCTTCTTAAAACACTAACTGGCTTGGGCCGAAATCTGCCATGGACAATGCTCACACCGCAGTGTACCTCCTCCCACGGCCCGGCACAGATGACGACGCTTCGAGGCGTCCCACCACAAGATGGCGGCACTGGTAGTGCTATGCTGAGATCGTACCTCGAGGATGTGTGCCCTCGACAGCTGAGGTGCGAATTCAGTGTGGTTTCTGACAGTGGCATCTGCCATTCTCTGGCACCTGTGTACTAACCGAAACAAGCATGTTATATATTCGAGTGTGTCTTCCGCGACTAGTAGGATTTTCCTCCCCAAGACAATCCTAATGAGCTGGCAGGGGTCATCACAAATTCTTCGTCGATTCCCAACACTATCCATGCTAATTGTATTTTCACATGGTAGATGTCTGATCTGTGCTGATTAAAGCAAGTGCCCAGGTTTACTCAGATTTGTAATTCTGCATCTATCTCGAACAAAAACGTGTAAAATACTGAAGTTAGTCGGTCTAGTACCTATCCGCAACCTTTTTTTTTCATCTGCCCGTTCACATTACCCGTTTAGATACTCTACACAAATTAAGGAGTATGTTGCAGTTGATAGGTGTGCAATCGACTACTAATTTTGGGTTAATTAAAGTTAATTTGGTGGTATAGTACCCGGCGCTCTTTCTCTCTACTCTGTATGTCTTACTGGACATTTTAAATTGCATTGTTGCAGTGGTGGCATGGTGGTAAGTGAACCATGCAAAGTTTCATCGCCTTTTCCCCACATATTTCGACCAGACATCTCCTGTGCAGGTCTTCTCTCGGATCGTGAAAGGCCAATGATGCAGGGTATGTTTCAAAAGTAATCTCAATATATAATAGGCTCTGTCATCATACCTACTGAAATATATGTGTAATACTGCATCAGTATCCTTCATAAATTACAGCTGAGCAGAGATTCAGATAAATACTTATGCAGCAAAGTCTAAATTGAGATTTTTAGGCATTAATGCCTAACGTATAAAAATTCACAACCCGAGTTTGCAGTCATATAAATCACCATTCCAGCAATATATTTCCTTTCAATTGTCTATAACAGTTTAATTTCAATATATTTCATTATGCATACTTATTAGATGATAAAGTTGATATTTTAAACGGCTTCATGTTCAACCCTACATGCTATGTGCTACTATTATTGCTTGCTTGTAGGTGTGAGCAGTGTCCCTGCAATGTCATGCCTCAGCTCTGCATCGGATATAAGCAACATGCTATCAAGTTTGCACGGTGCTGCCAAACGCTACAACATCCACAAGTTTCACAAATTTGTCGAAGCTGGCTTGGATGTGGACGATTTTAAAGAGACCATGGACTGTCTAGAAACACTGATTACGTGTTATGATGACAATTGATACTATTGTGTATCTGTGATTTCTGTTATTCTCTTGTGGGAACTCTTATTCTTCTGTGGGAACAGTTTGTTCTTTTTGAAAATCTAAATTTAAAGCAGTTTTCCCACCCCATTTTTGAAATGGTGAAAATACACAATCTTTACCTACGCCCAACGGAGTTGGAGGAGGTTATGTTTTCGCTCTCGTGTGTTCGCGTTAGACTGGTACTCGCTCCCACCTCGATTCCCCCATCAATTAACTAAGCCGAGAGGTGGGACCGGGTACCAATCTAGTGTTCGTGTGTTCGCGCGATCGATATTAGCGCGTCAGCCAGCGAGCCAGCCAGCGCAGCGAGCCAGCTCGTAACACATATGCACTCCGTCAGTGCACTCTGCCAGCTCGTAACACATACATGTTACATGGGAGCGTGTACATGTCAGTACGCTGGCGTATATCGTGGCTTATTCGTGTGTTTGTGAGTCGTATGGCGTATGTCCTTGGCGGAGGTATGCACTCCGTAGTGCCTCTAGTTTAAATGTGTAATGATAGTTGTAAATAATGTAACAGTTCATCTCCTGCATAATTTATTATAATATTCAAACATCGACATGTGACATGTTTATATTCAAATGGTCTTTATTAATTATACACAATAAGTTAATTGCCAAACTTTCTTAATCAGACAGCAACACTACAATAAATTTCCAGAACCTACTACTAGGTGTCACGTTCTGCATTACTCTATAAACAGTTATATATGGTAAGCAACATGATGAAGTAGCACCTGCCTAGTGATGTACTACACAGTAAGGGGATAGTTAAATTAAGCACCAAGTAGCAGCTAATATTCTGCCAAGTTATATGCTACAATGGGATTTTTTATGCTGTGTTGATTGCTTAGCAGGATGGCTGTTCTTTAGACTTTGTAGCAACGACCACAAGGTTCCTCGGTGAAATCATAGGGTCAAACACTGGCAGTATAGTGCAGTTAATTCCTGCAATAAAGGAATCCACAAGCTATTCACCGTTCAACTACAACAATGATTGAAAAGATTGTTGAATATTACAGGTATTACTTAAAATATTTAGTATGTAAATATTTGGCTATAATTAACAGTTGGGTTGAGCTTAGAGATCATTACCATTCTCATATAGATACAGCATTCTGTCACAGAGAATGACACTTTCCAGGACTGGTGCTAATAAAAGCCTGAGTGCATAAAATGCCACCACTCTCCTCCAGCTGGCAGCACATTCATATTCTGCTAATTCCACATCATCTGCTGTGGCAATACGATTGCAGCCAAGCTTTTTTAAGGCTACCTCTATGTACCTGTAATAAAATCAGGCGGGTAGTTAAGCATGCCGACGTAAATTGCTAAACGGCTAACATTTTGTTGTTATGCAGTTTGCTTAGCCTAACCATATGTGAGATCGTTTTACCCAACAAGGTGTACAACAAGAAACTTAACTTATCCAGCAATTATGAATTCATGAACTGTCATTATGTTCATGTAATTTCTGTCAATATTCTTGGTACTCTATATAATTATAATAGCGTTTACAGCTGTAAATATATCTGTGCCTTGCTGAAATAATATCAATTTTTGTGTGGTATATCGGTGATATATATGTAAGTGAGTGTGCGTTGCCTACGTACTCGGTGAAGCTCATGTTCTCAGCATGGCGGATTGTGCCAATACTAGTGGTCCCGTGCAGCTCAGGTTTATATGCCTTCAGCAGCCACTCGAGTTTTGCTCGGTAGCAGTGCAACTTCAACTTTGGCTCATTAACTGCAATAAGTGACAGCAAAGGGTAAAAAAGAAATTAAAGGAATAGTTTAAAAAGGAAAGTAGTTGGAATCCCAACTACCAACACCAACTACGTGTGCGCGTGCATGTTACATGATGTAGGTATGTTGGAGGGGTGAAATTTTGCTTATATATCTATAAATGTAGCTAGGTATAGTAACTAGAATAGTAGTTTTTAATAATGGCACTAAAATGATGCTCTCATTTGCATTGTAAGTATAAAAAGTTCTATGATTAACCCGCCATATGGCACTGTTGGCAGGAAGGACTTACAGACCATTTTCTTAGAAGGCACACCCTGGAGAAACCTCTCATCCCTGCCCCCTCACTTTAGCCACTGAATGACAGTACGTAGAAGTCATAACAATCCAAATAGCAGAACGCGAATTTATGTCTAATCCTTATGCAATCCATCATATAAAATCAATCAAGTTTCATAATATTTTATTGTATCAAGAACACAAAGTGTGAAATTTCATGAATAAAGTCATTATTCTGGGATTAAATAACCATATTTCACACCAACCACCAATCGCCCTAAATATGCTACCACGGTATTTACCATGGTACAAAGTCATAAAAACAATTGAGTTCAAAATCAGTATATATATATATATATATATATAAATCAATTATATATATATATACACACACACATCAGCTAGGGGTTAATAAAAACAAACTGATGTACCAGACCCCTGGTATACAGGTGAACAAGACTCCTGATATACCAGGGGTGAATAAAGAAAAATGTTGTCTTTATTAACTCCTGATATACATACATACACAGCGGAACCCCGATTTTACGCGCCCCCATTTAACGCGATGAGTCGTTGGACCTCCTTTCTTTGCTCATATAGCCACGTATATATATAATTCCCTGATTTATAGTGTGACTCCGCTTTTTTCACGATGACATGGGCCCCAATTACATACTGTTCACATTTAGTGTACTTTACACATAACATACCCAGTGTTGGCAATTTTCATGTAGCAGCATCCTACTGACACTATGGCCTTGATGTGATCGCTCTTTGTAAATAATTTAAGTATTGTTGGGCCTAGGTCACCACATGTATGAAGTCCAACCAGAACACACCCTTTCTACAAAACACCATGAAATACAACAAAAATTAATTTTAATTTTTGCAAAACAGCTAACTATATTATATCCATATAGATTATATCAGGAGTAGATAATAGAGACTATCTACGGTTACGGTGGGACAATGCAGGGTACGCAGCGACATATCGTCAGAATCGCCCTATTATCTACTCCTGATAATATATAGATGGTGCGAGGCAGCGAGAGAGAGCGAGAGAGAAAGAGAGAGATAGAGACAGCGAGAGATTGTAGGTAAAGCAAATTAAATGGTCTACTAATTGTAACATAGACAATAAATTGCAATATATTAATGGAAAGTACTATATACCTGGTTTCCCACCAATGAGTTAAAGTCTTTAACAGATATATCAGGCTTAATACACTGATTAATGTATTTCACTTGATATTCATCATCAATTTTCTCACGGCCTTCCCTTTCCATTTCTTTCCTAATGCTTTCTTTTACTTCCCTGTCAAAAAATGATATACACATTGTTGATGCGTGTAGTATAAACCCTCACGTATACACGTATAGCTAAGTGGAATTAGGCGCGCGTAGTAATATCACTCGCGAGTACCCAGAAGCCTTTGTAAGTGATGTGACGTCAGGAGTTGAGGAATATAAGTGTTCTTGTAAACAATTGAGTTTCTGTCCTCCCCGCTCGTAAATACTGGTCCTCCGCTCGGGATCCATGTATTAACACACATAACCTCTTAGTTCAAACAAAATATACTAACGCACATGTATATAATTTATTGTACTGTGACATAATTATATTGCAGTGATTAGTTCTTGGCTTGATATACGTTATATAAATAGTGCAAACACCAATTCCTAGCAGGCTCACTTCAACTAGCAATTTCACGCAAGCATATTACAATAAAATATTAAAAACCCCTAGGCATTAAAACAGACCTATCAAATTTCTCTGCTCCATTGGTATAAGAAGAATCTGCCTCAACACTTGTCACACTCAGACCATAACCGAACGCAAGAAGGCGAGACAGATGACCTTGTCCAGATCCCATGTCCAATACACTAGTGGTATGGTTATGTGTACACACTGCTGCAACTACCTGATCAAATAAATGAAAGTGTCAATGACACTGTAGCTCACCACAAAAAAAGGACACAAATGAGTGAGTAAGAAGAAGTCAGTTTTAATTGAGCAACCATTGACGTACATTATAGAAACGATTGCCATCTGTATATCGCAATAATAATTTATAAACAAAAATGAATCACAATTTGTGACCGTAGATGGCGCTATAGCTTGCTGGTAGCGATGGCGTTTGAAATAAATAGGTTATGCTGGGTTCCGACATGATTTGTAAAACTTTACTCTAATATATAGACGTTTTATCGCAGGGTGGAGAGAAATACCAATTTTGCATTAAAGATATTGTCAATGAAATCTTGTAAAACGAACCAACGAGTGTGACACCACAGACTGTTGTGTCTATATAATATGCTATATAATTGCCAAACCCTACCTAATTTGCATAATTTTTTTTTTAATATCAAAACCCTAGCCTTTATTCATGTCACATACCAAAAATGAGCAAAATCCGTTTGAACCTGAACTGACTAATGCAGCAATTACCATTTTTGCCAAAAAATTGCCGGTGCGCTCGAAAAGTACCGCGAACTGGCGTGCTTCAAAATAAGACGTTTATATGGGAGCATAGCAGTAACAACTATACCCAATTTCAAACATGTGGTCAAACGGTTCCTGAGTTATCGTTGACCGTAGCAAAATGTTGACGGGGACGACGGACGGACGTACGACAGACGACGACCCATGCAATAGCTCAGCTTGACGATGTCAAGGTGAGCTAACAAGTGCCGCAGAGCGACAGCGTCACCTGACGGCAGGTGTTCTGATGCTAACTCACTGGCAAACGAATGAAGAGCACCTACCCATCACCGCATTCGCCGCTCCGAGCATATATCTAGGATACTACTAATACAGATCTAAAATCTATGATAGCTAAGGCTTTGCTATACGGTAGTACAGTAATAAAGATACAGCTGTGTAACTTTAATGACTTTGCAATATTAACATGTTATCATGGATATGCGCTTGAGCGCGAGCGTAGTGGTGGGGGAGAGTGGGGGGAAGGGGCGGTGAAGGGGCTCTAATAGCAAAAGCAGTTTCCCGCGAGATGGCGCGTGCAAGTGTCATCAATAATCAAAGATGGCATCACCCTTCGTGCGTGATAACCTCACTCCATTGAGTTGCTGAAATCCAAGTATATTCAGGCAGGCGAGAATTTCGCTCAGCTGTGAGTTAACACACATCTGCATTGCAGGTTGCCAGGCAATAATTATGATTAGAATAGTGCCAGTTCACCCCATGCATGCGTAATGGGCTGCCCCCATGTTTTTGCCTACACACCCGCGAGCATTCAGGGTTCATTACAGTGTGCTATTACAGGGTGCTACTCAGGGTGCTAATACAGACTGCTTTAGAAAATAATAATATTTAAGGAGCGTAAACCTTGTTCAACAAACATTTGCCTTGCAATTGAACTGTGCAACTGTAGCCTCACATCCACAATAGCAAAAGCAGTTCAGTCCTTTGTTAACAGTCAACAAATCCATGTTTAACCTCTCTTGAGGGTCAAAAGTTATCCGACACTTACTCTTCGCATGTCAGCGGAAGTACATTTCATGGTCCTTTCAATAAAGCCATAAAAATGCTAGGTCCCGCTGAAACAAAAAGTTTTTCAATACTCCGTCAGACCATGTCTCAGAAAATGTCTAAAATCTGCCCTGTGCCCCATTGACTTGATCTGTGACGCTCCAATTTCGGCACAGTGATGGCTTTTCCTACCATGATGCTATATATACCACTATCACGAGCCTAGGTGAGCCATTTAGATTTGTTGCCGCATTCTGCATTTCTCCCTATACTTAAGTTAAGAGGGAATGTTCCCCCTTCTTTTACACCTCTTGACCTTTGACCTTTGACCCCAGCTTCGACATCCCAATTCGTTTCGGATTACCCCCCCACGTCCCGACTTTCGAATCCGTACGTCGAGCCGTTTAGATTTGTGCCCAACTGTTGACGGATGGACGCACGATCATGCGATTCTACAAGCTGCATCTGACTATGTCAGATGAGCTAAAAATGACTTGAAGCAATTATGCACGTAAATGGCAACTTCAGATGTACAAATTATAATGTTATATTATTGTGTTATATTATTATTAAATTATAAGATTAAAATAAATTTTTTGTCAGTTTCTTGTACATTTATAAAATATGATATCAAATTATATTTCATAAGAGATAAAAATCATTATATTAGAAAATAAATTACAGGAACTTATTATGTGAAAGACTAGATACATTAAGCATCAGAAAACTACACATATACAAATTACAACTAGTTATTGTTGCGTACCTGCGCTAGCCTGCCAATTTCATGCTGTTTTTTTGGTTTGACATGCTTCCTGTAGCAGTGGCCCAAGTATTTGTGCTGACCAGCTTCTTTAGAGAGTTCGTCAGCAGCACATCTCCATAGGAATGTTGTCGCTTTTTTGAACAAATTATGCTTTTGTTGATCTGTCATGTACAAGTTATAAAGGCAATATATCAAGCAGTTTTTTTTTACTTTGTAATGATTCTACAGAAATAAAACCTTGCACTTGTTTATATATACAGAACATGAATTTTAAAACACACGTGTGTATATCATATGAAAATATTCATGAATGATGTATTTTTCAATAAATTTATCTGTATTTGAATTATATGCATTTAATAATAAAAACAATGTGTGTCTATATAATAGTAAGTAACCTATATTCCAAATTAGCATATAACTATGTGTCTGACTCATAAGTATTTAGTCTTCATCACGAAACTCGTTAATTTACTTAGACAGTTTAAGTTAAATTGGTGTGAATAAACCGTTCTTGGGACACTGATACTTAATTTACACCCTAGCTATTGCTTTTTGAGAACTTCTAAAAGGTACATAAAAAGCTCAATTGAAACGTAAAATTTACGTGATGTTTTGTATATCGTCACCTTACCCTTGATGTTTGTAACTGCAGTCCTTGAATTAGTATCAATACTTGTGCTGCAGATTACATTTGGTTGTCTTTCTATATGTAAGCCAATTGTCTCATCTGACCCCAGTTGTGTTTTTGATGGCTTATCTTTCAGATTTAGATATGCTACATCAAAGCTCTCTGATGGCTTTCGACAGAAGGACATTGCTCGGGTTGCTTCTCTGTAGGCAAGTAAAGAGAGTGGCCATACACCTGGGCTATGTGCAAAAAAGTAAATGGTGTTATTACTTATTAGTTTAAATAAATGTAACATAGCATCGCAGTCAACTTGCCATTGCACTTAATTTGGTGGCCGAGTTATAATGATAGCCGAAATTTCTGTTGCTGTTGCTACTATATTAGTTGCTAATTATATGTGAATTATAGCTTATATATATTATGTCAAAAACATACCACTTTCCAGTTTCCATCCATGTTGCAAGTTCATGGGTTTCTACATTGTCAAGAGCCAATCGCCAGGAGAGGGGAAGCTTGCTCCAAAATTGCTTTACGTAAAACTCCTAAAAACAGTGGTAATGCTGATTATTTTCTTCATATGTATCCTAAAATATATTTTGAAAATGAATCATTCAACAATACTTAAATTAAATTTGGGAATTGTGGATATATGATTGAGCAGTTGAGCAGCAAATAAAATAGAAAGGTCTTAGGTAATTGAACATGATCATGCATCATTCCCATTTTATTCCATTTTAAGTATTATTTTCAGGGGCGGATCCAGAGTGGGGGTCGACGGGGTCCGGACCCCCTCTTTTTACCACAAAAAAAGGGAAAAAAGCATACGCACGCACGCACGCGCGCGCGCACACACACACACACTTCTCTTATATTGTCTCCATAAAAAAATCTTGTTTAGCGCTAGTTTTTCTGGTAAAG